TTGTTAAGTTTTTCCTTAGTCTCGATCACAATCTCCGTTCATTGCTATTTCTCACGAGTTCTGTGTTGTTCTCTGTTTGAGACTAATTGTTATTGTGGTTTCGCCGTTTCAGTTGGTGCGAAATTTCGACATTGTCACGTGTCTTTCTTTTTGAACGAATTTTTAAAAATTAATATGAAACTCCAAATTAACCCTTCCGCGTTTGTCAAAATAAACGATTAAGACCTCTAATTCGTTAAAACCGTTAATTTTCCCACACCGATGTCACAATAAAATTTCGAATTCTGACTTTGCATTTTTGTACATGTATCGGGAGGTGTAACGAAAATGAAACGAAATGTAACGAAAACTGTATATGGAGTGGGTAAATTCCCTGCGACTTTGAAAGGTGTTCAAAAACAACTAAGCTAGAAGTCCATTCAGGAGAAATCTATTCAGAAGTCCAATATTGAGGAATCTATTCAGGTAGAAGTCCATTCAGAAGTCTATTCAACTGAACTTAAGTTTTTTTTTTGGCCTTAGGGTTTTCTGTCAGGGAATATTTAGGCTGTGCTAACGTTTGATAATTTTTTGTCCAATTGTCTATGTTGGATGTTTTGTTTTAGATTTTTGCACCGCCTAAGGCAGAGGATTGCACTCCTCAGAAGTGCACAACTTATTTTCGTTCTTGTAAATTTTATTGTGTCCGAGTATGATTCACTTAGTTTCTCTGCTAGTTTCTGGATGGTTTTTGTAGAGCTGGTGCTGCTCCTCCAGTACATGCAAAAATTAGTGAAACAAAGCTGCTGTGTTCCACATCCAGAATTTTTTGTTGGTATTTTAATGTTTTGACACTCTCAGGATATTTGTAGGCGTCATATATAGTTTTGGGGCAGGATTTAGCATGGGGGTTGAAAATTTTTACATCGAAAAAAGCTAACTGAATCGGCATCCCCAGATTCCATTTGCCTTGATGTCAAGTCGAGCGTCATCTTCAGTAGTGGCTGTTTTTTGTCCAGGAGTGTTCCAAAGGTATCGCGAATTTCATTATGTCTTAGGTGAGTGTATCCAACTTTGGGACAGTGTAGAGAGTGGGTCAGTGAGAATGGCTGTCCACATGGGCATGTATGCGGGGTGTTTGGTGGTTCCCATCTATATCTCAGATGTAATCCATTTTTAAACTCTGATTTGTTGAGGGAAAAATTGTATCTTTTTAAGAGTAGCACGCTTAGCCAATTCGATGCTCCTTTCTGAGACGCTAGATTTATTGTCAGTTTTTTTCTGATGAGCAATTTTCCATAATTTGAGCTTTTTTTGAGAGTGTGATGTTCTGTCTCTCAGTTTTGATGTTTCTATTTATCAGAGTTTTTACCGTTTCAGCTACTTCTGGATCATTGTTGTCTAACGGATCACAAATGGCTTGTGACCACTCATAATTTCTGGAAAAGTCCGTGTTACTGAGGAAGTATAATCCTCCCAATCTTAGTGGTAGTGCAAAAAGGTTGCGATTTTCATCGGTTATATGGTTATTACCAGTAATACTAGGAAGTAGCTGCTGTCTTACGTTTATCTCAATTTCATCCATTTTCTTAAATGCTTCCAGAGTTGTTCTGGTAAAACGCTTAATTTACTTTGAACTCCCTTTGTGTAGCAGGAGTACGCATTTTGTGGTGATGTTTTAGTTATTTTGGAAAGCTTTTCATTTAGAGTAGCTGTCTTTTCAATTTCGTTTTCCATATATTTATCGCATGCTGATGGTGTTCATATAACCGATCCAAGGACTCTAAAACCGTCTACCATTGTAATATTTGTGCCTTCGAATTCTTTTATGGTGCTGTCACGACGGTTTTCTTTTACTATGAGTTGACACTTGGAAGGCTTCACATTGTATCCGAAAGCCTTTCCGTGCAGTATTGCGCGCAGACTCTTAAGATCACCTGCAGCGCTTCCATCTGCGTACCATTTTTGGGTGACATTTGGTTTTTGCAGGAGCGGCCCAAGATGAATTGGTCTAAGTCGTCTAAGTTCTCAACCACCAGGAAGCTCATCCAAAGATCGCGTTCTCCCATGTGGAGGATGTTATTGGTGTCCTTCCGGCTACGTAGATTGCTCCGCGGTTGGCGGCCGCCTATCTGAGGTTCGTTGGAATTAGATCTTCCCTCGTGAAGCCCATTCTTTCCCAAGTCTTTATTGGCATCACGCTTACCACTGCTCCTGTATCCAGTAATCCTGTTACTCCAATTTTCTTCCCATTGGTGTCTACCAGATGTGCAGTCACATCTGCTTTGTACCCTATGTGTACTGCATCTGGCTCCATCATGGCATCATGGCCAATTCTACGGACCTTGAGTTCTCCCTGACCCAAATAGATCTGCCTCATTTGGTCACTATCGGTTTTTACGTGGGTCCTTGTGTAGATGCTTATCCCGTCATGTTCAACATCACATGATACGGTCCATAGACTTCCACGTAGCGCCTGTGGAATTTCTTTGTTCGAGGGCCAACCGTTGTCAACAACGCTCGCACAGCCCTCGACTCAGTGCTTGGCTCTACCTGTCTGAGTAATCAGCATCTGTGTCTAAATGCATCATAGTGAACTCTGAGGGTTCACTTAGGTTCCTGATAACCTGATGTCCCGCAACTAAATTTAGTGACTAAATTCTGCTTCCTTGTGGCACCATTCCGAACGTCTGCCCAGAGATTACGTTTAGTTTCAGGCTCAAACGTTTAGTTTCAGGTTCTGCTTGGTGCTTTCGTTTCGTCAACCTCCGGTGCCTCGAAAGCGTTTAGTTTTTCCTGAGTTTTCTCATTCTCTAGTTTGAGCTTCACTTTCTGTTTGATCTCCTCTGTCACCAATTCCAGCTGGACTCTGTATAAGGCATCTGTTGTTGCTGCCTTATACTCGATTTTGAAATCGTCTGCCGCAGTCACCGGTTCCGGTTCATGTATCTCTTCCGTTACTGCCTGCCTCTACTTTGTTGCCAGCTCTTGCGGTTTTTCTTGCCTGCCTCCATTTCACTCAACAGGCGAGCCATGCTGGCTTTCCTCATGCCTTGGATGCTTGATGTCTGCCAAAGCATCCCAAAATTGTGGGCAATCCGATTCAAAATGACCTTCCAAGTTACAAAAGTTACCTTGGGCCGAGTTTTGCAATTTTTCCTCTCATGAAATCTTCATGATCGGCCTCTGACGCAAATTCATCCTCAAGGCTAAAGCCTATTGCTTTCATGTCCTGTTTGTAGGTTGGGCATGCTGATACATGATGGTCCGTCGAACTGCAATTTGCACAAGAGCGTCTCTTGTCCATATTGTCCCTTGGTTTGTACCAGTTGTTACCTTGGTTTGCTGGTCCCTTGTTAAAATTGCCATAATTGTTTTCGTAATATCCAGATCTCGATGGAGGCTTCAGTAAAAGATGTTCTTTCGACTTGAGTCTCAACTCCTCTGGTGTTGGCGCATTGGTTGAAAGTGGTGTGAAATTTGTCGCTAACATCGTTCGAAGCTCATCATTCTTCACACCATCGATGAATTTTGAGGCTACTGCCAGGTTCATCTTTCTGTTCGACTCATCTGGTTGGCTACGCCTTCTAAGCATCTCCAAATTGTCTAGAAACTTGTCTATCGTCTCGTCTTTCGTTACTTCCGTTTCTCGAAGCGCATCATTGCTTGGTGTCCTTGCAACCCCTGAGCCAAAAAGATTTAACAAGATTTTAAAGAATATCTCAGCATTGTCCCACTGGTTTTGCTTTTTGGCCATCGGGCAGTTTAGGGCTGTACCTTCCAGGTTACTGGTGAGCGCACTGCATTCTTGTTTTTCTGTCAAGTCCTCCTCTTCAAACTGCAGTTTCATTACCTCTATGCAGGTATCAATACAGCCATCAGATTCGTCTTATAGCATCTTGGTTTCGCAAAAATCCTTCTGGACGTTTCACTGCATTCATTGGTTCTAGATAACCTCGTTAGGAAAGTTTTCAAGGACCTGTTGAGAGTTTCAAAAGCTGTGGCCAGTGATGTCGCATCCCTTGAATGCCCCGCTTGAGAATCATTGCCCCCTGATAGAGGCTCTCGGTTTCCCCTCCGGCTCGAATCGGTGGGATGACTTCTTCCTTGATTCCCATGACTCCAGTTCATGGAATCACATCTCCCAGTCGCATGTGTGTCTTGCGTCGGTCGTTCGTTTGAGGTCAGTCTGTTGCCAGTTGAACTTCCTCTATTGTTTGGGCCTCGTGGCCTATTGTCCCCTGTAGCATAGCTTGATGAACTGCCCCTTCCTCTAGTGTCCTTTGTCCATATGTCCTTCTTCTATTGGGTTGTTCATTGAAGTTCACTCTCGGCTCCCTGTCGGGCTCTCCTGAGTTTGGTCCCCCATTCTTCGATCCACTCCTGTTTCCTAGTAGTCCATCCAATTTATCCATGATAGCCTGAGTTCGCCTCTCGATCATCGCGTCTATCTTCGTATCAAGAGTGCAAAGAGTCTGCTCCTGTTGAATTCTCAACTTCTCGATGTCTTCTCTCAGCCTTAATTCACTCTGCTCAGCTTCCCTCGTATTAGCGACAAGTTCTTGGCCAAGTGATCATCCGTTCTCTCCTTCAAGCGTTTTTCGCTTCTGCTAGATTCTTGTCTGTTGCGGTTGATCTCTTGCCGCAGGCTTTCTCTCTCGACATGGACTGCCCTCTTTAGTTCACTTATTCTTGAAGACATCTTTTCATTCTGTTCTCCTATGCTGTCCACTTTGTTGGTCAAGGCTTCTTCAATTGATGCTCCGTTGTCCACTAATGGCGTCACAAGTAGTGGTGTCACCCTATCGGTTCCAGGTATTTTGGTGCTTTTCGAGACTCGGGTCTTGATTCTCTGCCTCGACGTCTCTTCATGGTCCACTTCTGGATCCGCAGGTTGGTTACATAGCCCTGTGTTTCTGTTCTTCCCAGTTCGCATCTCCGAATTCGTCATGATCACAAAGTCTCCTGACTGGCCTGATCCGTTTGTGTCTTGCTTATTGCCCTGACCACACCAAATTGGTCTATAGAGCCGGTCTCTCCGTCGGTGTATGCATCATTCTCCTAAGTCCAACTATTGAGGCTCTGACTTGAGATCCGAAGTCATCTTGCTCGTCATCGTCCTCCTCCTCTTCCTGGGTTTCTGCTTCATCACCTGTACCCGTTCCCATGGTAAACGGAGAGAAGTTTCCCAAAGTTTTCTTCACTCTTTCTGAAAACGATGAGGACGTCGCCGGTTTCTCCGTCGCACCATGCATCATAGTGTTGTCTGTGGGTGATATTGTAGTCGCCACGTTTTCAGTAGAGATGTCGGACAGTTCCGACATCTCTTCTCGGTCTAAAGTCCCGGTGGAAGTGACAAAATCTGGGCCTTGTTCTACCGGAGTAGATTCACTCGCCAATCTTCTGTTTCCACTCCATTCCGATCCATGTCCGTCCCGGTTCTCATCCATGTCAGGGTCCGGATGGACTTCTGCTTCTATCATTGCCTTCTGTCCTTCCGACGACTTTTGACTCCTGGTTTCAATCATTCCGCCTGAAATGTTCTTCCCTTTGTCGTCCTGGTTCGTGCGATCCTTTCCACGAAAGGGTCGTTCATTGCTTTTCTTTGTTTCTCTGGTATGAATTTCCTAGAGCTATCAGTTAGTTTAGGTATCCTTGACTTGTTTAGACTCATTTTTGATTTATCACTTCCCACACTATCAATTCGATTGCTAGTGTGTTTTTTATTTGACTGCTAATAATAATAACACAACAAAATAAATTCCAAAAGTTTCACTTAAATAGTGACCACGAATCCTTGTATGTTATCACAGTACAGAGTATATACAATTTATTCACAATGATCGATTATTGGTTGTAAAGATATGAAGCTAGCACAAACCGATAATATCAATATGTTTAAAATATAGTGTGCTCACTACCCAATCAAGACCAGATATTATTGATTTAAAACCAAAAATGAACGAAATTTAAAAATTGTCAAAGAAAAACGTATGTGTTTTGTACTATAGTTAGTCGCAATACAGTAGTCGAAATTGTTTCTAAAGAAAGAATTTTCCCTGTTCGGTGCCGAGCCAGTCAGACAAAACTTGAAGGCGGTAATTTTCTCAAGTGGGCGTCTAATGCACCCACCAAGTCCTGTGTTACCTATCTGCCTACGGATTGCCCGAGCTAGACCTACTCAAATCCTCAAGGCAATCACTTTTCCAAAAAACGATTTGTATTGCAATCCACACAAATCAGTGACAATTTTTTGTTCATTTTAGACTAAGTGTCGCAAGTATCCGGGTCTAGACCTGTTTTGTTTTAGTCTTATCTTTGTAAAAGGCAAGTTACCAGTGCTTTCTAGTCTGACACTTAATAACCTAATATTCTTTACTATTTACTTTTCTTTTGTCTACTTAAGTTTTGACAAAACATAGGACCCCTCCGGGTTGGCAAATTTGGGACCCTTCCGGATTGGCAAAATTGGGACCCTTCTGCATTGGCAAAAATAAGACCCTTCGGATTGGCAAAATTAGGACCCTTCGGGATTGGGACCCCTCCGGGTTTGTAAAAATGGCCTTTTCGGGCCTTTTAAAATTTTCAATAGAGAAAAGACCCTTCCAAATACGTTCTCCGATACTATTATGCTGTAGGAACTAACTAGGAAGGGTGTATTTTCCATCCCTAGGCCCTTCCGGATCGTAGTTAAGCCTCTTAATTTACTTTTTACTCAACTGTGAAGGGTCTTCTAACTACCGGCTTGGCTAATTTGGAACCCTTCCGGATTGGCAAATTTGGGACCCTTCCGGATTGGCAAAAGTGGGACCCTTCCGGATTGGCAAAAACAGGACCCTCTTAAACATTGAGCCTCTTATTTTACTATTCTATTCAACTGTGAAGGGTTTTATAACCAGATCAGTCTTGCCTCGACTATGGTTTTCTGGGTTCCTCGGCCCTTTCATGTTGTCTAAAACAGCGTAAAGCTACCTTATTCAACCTTTACTACCCTTTGGTAGAAGTAAAAGGGCTTTTCAAAAAATTTTTTTTACAAAACGTGAAGGGTCTACCTTCACTAATTGGTAATTTTGCTTAAAACAATCTTGAAAATAACTTCACTCTTATTTTTTCGAATAATTGAAAGTTCTATGAGTAAGTTCATCTAATTTTTGATCTATGGTACCAAGATCAACTGAATTTGTCCAGTAGTTTCAAAGTTATTAATCAAAACGTCTTTTTTCTAAAGTCAAAAAATTTTCTCTCTTACAGGTTCCGCCTAACTTTTTTCGCAATTCTATTTTTTTCGACCTAAAAATTAATGATCCGAGCTCAAAATGCCTATATTACTCTATTTCAATGCAAAAGACTCAATCTAAAAGGTTCCAGCTGAAAAAATTTGCCAAAAAAATGCTATTTGGACCCTTCGGGATAGATGAGTCCACTAAATCAAACACGTTAAGTCCGATTTCACTTTTGACCCTAAAAACCGGTCTGCTTGCTGTGTTTTTCACTGAAAAACGGTATAGGAGTATTAATACAGGCTGTATAAATAGTAACACTAGTAATATAAAACCCCTCCGGGTTTGTTCAAATCCCGAATTAAGGTGCTTAACTAGGAAATTCGCAATTCGTTGAAGGGTCACTACAATGCAGTCACTGTCGAGCCCCCCACATATTGATATCTTACTTTTTGTACCAAAAGGGATACAAAACTTTTTAACGATACCCAACAATTGATTTTTGTTTTTCTTGAGTCCCTTCTTGTCGCTCCTTGCACTGCTTGTCGGATCAGTCTTCTTCTCTAATCCCGAGACCCTTCCGGATTGAGCGCAAATTAGCATTAACGTGCTTAAATACTCAAATAACCCTACAGTACAAGCACCACAACCGAGCCCCACACTCGATCGTAACGATCCTGAAAGATATAAATGCCTGTAACAACAACAAACGGGAGGGTCGGATCACATCTCGTCTGGGGGGATGATTTCTACTGATTTTATACTTTTTTTTTTACTGTTTTTGGTTTTTTCGGTTATTTTTTATGTTTTTTGTTTTTCTTAGGTACTATACTAATTTTTGTTTGGTTTCCTATATAACTTTAAGTGTTTTTGGTCACAAACCTCTCAGGGAACGACGGGACGACCAATCCCCCCACTCTTCCTGGTATGTGAAACTTCGGTCTTAACTTGGTTAAAAAGCTATTCACGGGAATCCGGAAGGCTTCCGCGTTCCGAACTACCCTTCCGCCTCGGTAGTTAGGGCCTTGATGTGAGCATCCGCTCGGCGCGGAGAGCTCGATAACGGTTCTGCCGGTGATGATGATAGAATAGAAGCCCACCCAGGAGCGCCATAAAAACATCTATGTAACATTCGCCCGGAAGTACATATCAACGGAAAATAAAGCTAGGTTCAAAAACGACTGGCCAGCGTCTAAACACAGCTCTTCATGCTTTCCACCGTCTCTGCCAAAGCCAGTTCTTTTGGTGGTCTTCCTAACACCGGGTCGACAAAAAATTTCCTGTTTCCGGCTTCGATCAGAACGCTCTAATTAACTTAATTTTATGCAAAAGTAGTGAGCTCATGGCTGGGGTCTCAGCATCCCCAGACCACAAGATTGTTGATCAACCCTTTCCCTCAGCTCCTAAATTCTCATGATCTGAAAACGAATTTAAATGTTATTAGTTCAAGTCAGGACATGACCAGGAAGCTAAAAATTTATAAAATACAGTTTTGATTCTCCTCCCGAGACCCCTCCGGATTCTGGAATACGAAGAAACAACGTCCTTAACTCTTTCAGGAAGGCTGGACACGCCGTCCCAACACCCTTCTTTATCTCGGGATTCGCGTTGTAACAATTGTAACGGCACAACTGTTACAACTCGGAATGGTATTTGTCTCAGTCACAATCTCCGTTCACTGCTATTTCTCACGAGTTCTGTGTTGTTCTCTGTTTGAGACTAATTGTTATTGTGGTTTCGCCGTTTCAGTTGGTGGGAAATTTCGACATTGTCACGTGTCTTTCTTTCTGAACGAATTTTTAAAAATTAACATGAAACTCCAAATTAACCCTTCCGCGTTTGTCAAAATGAACGATTAAGACCTCTAATTCGTTAAAACCGTTAATCTTCCCACTCCGATGTCACAATAAAATTTCGAATTCTGACTTTGCATTTTTGTACATGTATCGGGAGGTGTAACGAAAATGTAACGAAATGTAACGAAAACTGTATATGGAGTGGGTAAATTCCCTGCGACTTTGAAAGGTGTTCAAAAACAACTAAGCTAGAAGTCCATTCAGGAGAAATCTATTCAGAAGTCCAATATTGAGGAATCTATTCAGGTAGAAGTCCATTCAGAAGTCCATTCAGCTGAACTTAAGTTTTGTTTATTTTTTTTAGGCCTTAGGGGTTTCTGTCAGGGTATATTTAGGCTGTGCTAACGATTGATAATTTTTTGTCCAATGCTTATTTCACATTCCATCGTCATGGCATGTTTTTTTTGCAAACTAGCTTCTGTCTTCGATAGATCTAGTTTTTTTCGACATTTTCGAATTGTTTTGATGATTTTTCCGAACTAGCGGCTTTCTTGTTTTGTTTCGCAAGTGGTGAGAAACTTAGCTTCGCCCCTGAGTATAAATGTAAAATTTAAATTTTATGCCAAATATCTTTTTGGTGAACGCATCTGAATGAAATTAAGTTAACAAAAACTGTTCATTTGACGTCGGTTTTCTTTGTTTTACTGAGTCTTAGGCGTAAAACCGACAGTGATTGAAAAAACTAATTAACCTACAAAGCTATAGTTTTCGACATATTATTTTGCTCAAGGTCAGCGATATTGCCAACAAATTTGCATTAGCTATAAATTGTGTATGGCATTTTTCCATGATTGTTTTTCGTTTTTTTTTAATTCAATATTTTAAAAATCCTGACGATGCACATCAAGTGCGAAAGTATTTGAATTGAAAAATTCTCTTAACATCTTATGTAAATTATTTCTTTCGTATTAGATTGAAACTGACGGACTTCGCAGTATGGTATTTCGTTCTAAAAGGGTCATGAATTTTTTTAATCCTTGTTGCAGCCAGCTATTTTGTAATTTTGTTTTGAGTAATTTGTTTTTACGTTGATTGTTCTTTTTTTTAAAAAAAAATAGTCAATTAAAATGGTCACTTCCGTCATGCGACGGTACGTGCACAGTTTGGATAGGGCCATACCAACGCTACTTACATACATCGGCAAAATTTTATAAATAAATCAATTCGATTTTAATGCATCAAGAGAATTGTCAATTAAAATCTTTCCTCCTCGATTATAGCACAGATAGAATTGTCTATGTTGGATGTATTGTTTTAGATTTTTGCACCACCCCCCCTAAGGCAGAGGATTGCACTCCTCAGAAGTGCACAAATTATTTTCGTTCTTGTAAATTTTATTGTGTCCGAGTATGATTCGCTTAGTTTCTCTGCTAGTTTCTGGATGGTTTTTGTAGAGCCTGGTGCTGCTCCTCCAGTACATGCAAAAATTAGTGAAACAAAGCTGCTGTGTTC